ACTTTCTTAACAACCTGTCTATAAGAGGAGGTAATATTTCATTTAATTAGACATTCACGTCAACAAGACACCTAACAACTACTGACGTGTTAATGTCAGATATTTGCTAGGCTACTCGATACCATTACTTCCAGGTTTGAAAGCAAAAAGGTTTAAGAGCATTAAATGTCCAAACTCAACTCACAATTTAGCTTAATTTTCAGCTCAGGTAAAAATTTTGTTTGCTTTAAAAATTGCCAAAAGTATACTGATTGGAACCATGGTCACTGACGATGAGATCCTTGAATGGCCCAGATTAACAACCCCAATCAGCGAACCCTGGCTGACAGACATAAACAAGAGATTCAGAAGGTCTCCTCAGTCTAGGGACTGGCTTTGAGCTGGCTGGTCAGAGTCCATGCACACGTAAATAAAGGGTGACTTGGCGAAGGGATACCGGTCTCTGGGTAGTTATTTCAAAAGACAATTTTTAACTTGACTGCTACTGAAGTTAATCAAAGCTACTATGTACAATTCATACAGTACTGTCTAATTAATCACCTCGCTGATCACTAGTAGGTTCACCTCATGGACTTAATCTGGTTCCTGTTAAACAAAAAAATCTGCAGTACATTAGCATAAATTGGCATTAATGTAAACTAATACTATATATTCAAATGGAGAATGATCAATGTCATGGAGTCATAGAATAATACAGCATGGAAACAGGTCCTTCCGCCCAAACTGGTCCATACTCACCATAGTGCCCACTCAGCTAGTTCCAATTGCCTGCATTTGGTCCATATCCCTCTAAACCCTTCTCATCCATGTACCTACCCAAATGTTTTTTAAATGATGCAATTGTACCTGCCTCAACCACTTTTTCTGGCAGCCCATTCCATATACACACCACAATCTGCGTGAAGAACTTGCCCCTCAAGTCCTTCTTAAATCTATCACCTCTCACCTTAAACCTATGTCCTCTCGTTTTCAACTCCCGGTACCTGGGAAAAACACTACATGCATTCATCCTATCCATGCCCCTCATGATTTTATA